GATTATATGGAAGGATCCTCTTGTGGGAAACCGAAAAGGCTGACTGGTGCTTCTGTTTTTTCGCATCATCGGACACCTAAAAAAAAATTCTTCAAACACAGAACGGAATGCACTATGACTTTCTATTCAGACATCAAAGACTGGAAGCTTATGCTTCGCATGATTGAAATGGACATACCGGACAGAACTTCCAGTGGAATTTGCAACGATGCTATTTACATTTATGACCACGAGTCAGTCTATTCCAACGCAATGGTCAGTACCTTTTTTTTTAAGTTTTCAACGCTTATAAACTGTTTATTTGAAATGTTTCTTTTCTCACTATATTTATCTGTTAATCTATATGCCCGCATTTGTATAGGCATTTAAAATAGGATTGTTTATATATATATATATATATATATATATATATATATATATATATATAAAACCTAGAGAGCCAGATAAACCAAGCAAGGTTTCACCTAATCAGATCGTCAGAGATGCCGGCCTTCCCTGACGATCCGCTTAGGTAAAAACCTTGGTAGGTGTGTCTTCCTCTCTAGGTTTAACTAGGTTTGGTCTACTCATTGTATTGAGCACTTTATTTAGTTATTTTGGGTACTCGCATCGGGGTTTTTTTTCTTTGGGCCTTGAACTCGTATTCTGGACGATTATTTTCGGCTAACGTACATGTTCTTGATTCTTTCTTTTTTATACCTTTTTTCCCTTTAGTATAGGGTTGTTTATTTGCAAATCAATACACCGAAGGTTTTCCGAGCGAGTATAGTTTCTTATACTTATAAGATTTCTATTAATAATATATGTATATATTAGGAAAGGTGTGAATCCTCCTCTTCTTTTCCCTCCAGCTATGGGTAAATTCGCCTTCGACGGGAGAGTCGAATATATATATATATATATATATATATATATATATATATATATATATATGTGTGTGTGTGTGTGTGTATATGTGTGTGTGTGTGTTTTAAGCATTTCACCCCCAAGCAAGGCTGGATGCCACCAGCACGTGAGGGGTTACAGAGAGTGGGAGCAAGAGTAAAGAGGTGTGACAGAGGAAAGGATGAAGAGGAAGGAGATCAAGGCATCTAAAGATGTCGATTGACATTACATTTGAATAGTTGGAGATTATAGCTGTCAGGGAAACAGGTAATTGGAAGGGAATTCCACAGACGGGAGGTGCGAGACATGACACTATTGGAGTAGAAGAGACGGCTACATTTAACTGTTTCGACAGTGAAAATGTGGGATCGAGATGCCAACTTAGTTGCGCGTTTAAATTCATGCAGTCTGGGAACCAGCGAAAGTAGCTCGTCGGAGTCACAGAGATTTTCATTTGTTCAGATTCCAAGAATACATTCGTGGTTGCCATCATTTAAACGTCTGGAACTTCCTATCAGAATTCTTTTAATCTCGAATTCAAGAACCATCCAAAACAGAATAAATGCATTCGTTTCATACAAGGCTTTAGATGTATCCAATATTGATGTTGAAGTTATTGAGAAGCAACGTTAACGCTTCTGATATTTCATATTGTATTTGTTCCCATTCCTGTTACTTTTCGAAAGTTTTTGGAGAGAAAATAAAAACCCCAAAAAACATAAATTCTTTCCAGATTTTTAATGGCACCTTACAACAGATAAAAGTAACCATTTCCACGACCGTTCTATTTATGTATCAAAGATCAACTGAGTGCAGCCAACGCCTGCAGCAATTCTATGTCATTTGTACGTCAAGGAGGGCTATATATATATATATATATATATATATATATATATATATATATATATATATACGGAAATAAATACGTCCTTGTTTCTGTAGCTCTAAAATTTAAATCGAAAAATAAACATCTCACGTATTAAAAAACAAAAATAAGAAGAATTATAGCATCGTGATCGCCATCATCAGTACCAGTCTGTAATAAGATAATTATTACCTATGATTGTCGACTCTTACACGATCACCATTATTTGGAAAAACAAATAAAAGAACACCAACAAAATGTTCACAGGCGTACACAGAAATTGCTCGATATCATTAGAAAAACGTAGGACCTCAACAAAGGGGCCATAATACTTATGGTGAATTTACGGTATTTTCATCTTGGGTGGATGATCATTTAGCGCCGTTCTGCTAATATGTGGACAGTTAATTATATTAATAAATATGTACAGTTAATTATATTAATTAATGTGTACCGTTAGGTATATTACAGTTATATATATATATATATATATATATATATATATATATATATATATATATATATATATTTCCCTGACGATCCGCTTAGGTGAAACCTGGGTAGGTATGTCTGGCTCTCTAGGTTTGACTAGGTCTGCTCTACTTTTGTATTGAGCACTTTTAAGTTAGTTGATTACTCGTATCGGGGTTTTTTTCCTTTGGGCTTTGGACCTGTATGCTGTACGATTATTTTCGACAGACGTTCATATTCATAGCTCTTTCTTTTTTTAAAACCTTTTTTTCCTTCGAGATTGATTTGACCATTAGCAAATCAAGAAACCGAAGGTTTTCCGAGACGAGTGTAATTACCAATATATATATATATATATATATATAGTGTAACCCGGATATAAGAGAGTTGTCGGGACCAGAGAAGAAGTCTCTTATATCCGGGTTTCTCTTATATCCGTGTTTGGTCTATTTTGTTTAGGTAAGTATGGGCTCTAATTTGGGACCAGATAAAATCTCTCTTATATCCGGGTTTCTCTTATATCCGGGTCTCTTATTCTCTCTGGGTTACACTGTATATATATATATATATATATATATATATATATATATGTAAGTGAACATAGAAGTCAACATAGGGGCGACAGTCTGTTTCATGCTAGATGCAATCGTCAGGCCATCTAGCATTAAACAGACTGTCGCCTCTAAGTGTTGACTTATATGTTCACTTTTATATTTACACACGCTCTATCTCTGCTATTGAGCACTTTATCCCATAAATATAGAACATCTTGAGACTATATTCATCATATATATATATATATATATATATATATATATATATATAAATTTTAAAGACAACTTATTGTAACACGATAAAATCAACATTCCGTTGGGATGGTGGTTTTTTATTATTTAATGAAACACACACACATAAACACAAAAGAATTTAATGATTTCGGTTGACAATCTTGAACATTCTCCTGATTGGATCTTACAATAAGCTAACGATCCTAAGCACACTGCAAAATCTACAAAGAAATGGCTTGCTGAAAATAATCTAAATATCTTGAAATGGTCAAGTCAATCCCCAGGTTTAAACCTAATCGTGTATCTTTGGTGTTATTTGAAAATTCAAATCCAATTGAGAGATCCAACAAACACCCTGCATCTGCGGACCATATGCGAAGAAGAATGGAACAAAATGGTCACTAAAATTTGCAAATCATTAATTGAGAACTACAAGAAGAAAAGTTTGATTGCTGTAGAAGTGAATAATGGCTATTCTACAAAGATTATGTATTCTTTTTTTATATTGTACGAATACTTTTCTCTCTCATTAAAATGGATAAATGAGTTTTATTTATATTAAATATATTTTTTTGTTTTCTGTGCATATTTGGTTATTATGTATATGTGTACAGTTAATCATATGTAAAGTAGATTTATTCATTATTTGTAAATACAATAAATTAAAAATTTGTATGTGTACGAATATTTGTTTCCCACCCCACACTTTATACACATATATATATATATGGTCTTACCAGTAAGCGTAACAGAGTTATAGGTACAGAACTTAGAATCGGCGAGCCGAATTCAAAATCAGATATCGACTATTGCGTTTACTTGCGCATAAATGCCCTTAGCAATGCATGAATCCATTTGTCTCCCTACGGATATCGGTTAAATAACAAGAATAACTAGTCTATACTGGACAGCAAGTCTAAAAGAAGAATAATAATTCAAAATTGTGGTGAAGGCAACGGGGAACTAATCCGTTGCCTTTCCTAAGAATATCATGTCAATTCACTCATATTAAAGAAAGAGAAGGATGTGGAGAGCTATGATCTTCATCGTTCCGAAGGAACAAGATATTAAAATATATATTATCATTGTTTATATCATTTCCTAACAAGGTGATACTGCTTATGATGATCGACTTTTACACGAGCGTGCACGGTTTGATACTAAACCGTAATGCAAGCATCTCATCATCTTCAATGACATTCGATTACAGAAAGATAAATATGTTTTACTGTTTCTCCTCGCAAGAAGCAAGTATATATTTCACGTTTTCTTTATCCCTTGTCCTTTGTCTGTCTGTCCGTCCAAGTCCTCCATTATCACCAGTTACCGCCCAGCTTCTAGCTTTTCTCTCTGTAATAAATGACCAACCATTATGAACCGGCCTCAGGAAAAAGCTGTCGCCTAGCACTCCGGGAAACACGATAGTCATTAGTCTCCCACGGTGACATTAGATAGAGTCTCTGACTGCAGAGATGAAGGAATCGGTTTTCTAACACCACCCGACCCCGAAAATGAAACGATACACAATTTGCACTGCACAGCTTTGAACCCTTACAAAAATGAAACCTTACATAAAAAAAAAGTTATTGACACGTTCATGGCTACCTTTTATGTATGAATACTTACGTAGTGGCATCGATGTTTTTATTAGCGATATTATTAGATATGGCTATATCCGGAAGAGGCATAGTACGGGGAACTAGAACGATCTAACCCGGTGAACGAAATAAAGGGTTCATTTCGAAATTCCATTCACCTGAAAAAGGCCAGAGCGTACAATGCCCGAAACGTCTTCAATATGCCAACGAAGATCAGGACAACAATTCGAACAATGTAAATAATAAGTTAATTTATGCTTTATTTTTTGTAAATAAAATAAAAGGTATAAATTATTTCACAGTTAATACGTGTATTTAATCCCATGCGTAATAACATCGATATTTTTGATAGCATTATTATTATTAAAAGAGGATTTAGTCGTTATTATGGATTTCGGCCACATCACGTTGAAACACCTGATCCCGTAAGCCTACAGAAGTTAAGCAATGTAGAGGCTGGTCAGTGCTTCGATGGGTGACCGCTCGGGAATATTAGGTGTAGTAAGCTTGGATGTGCGGGCGGTGTAATGGATAACAGCTCGGAATGGTTAAGCCGTGTTCAAATTCAAGTTTGATTCATTATAATAACTTACGCACAAATATCACTGGGAAAAGAATGAATCATCCAGCTATGGGTTAATTAGTACGACTTGTACCACTAAACAATTATTTAAAAAATAAATTTTTTTTTTTTTTTAAATTACTTAGAATCTAAAAATATTTTCTAGTTTTTTAAATAACCCGCAAAAAACGTAGGAAACGAATTAATCAATTAATTTTTATTTGGGAAAATAAAATAAAATTTGCCCACAATTTCCCGATTATATGGGTTAAATCAACCCTTACATAGGGATATGAGTGTTTTTTTTTGTTTTTGTTTGTTTTTTGTTTTTTGGGGTTTTTTTTTGGTAGGTTTACTATTAGAAATTCCTATATAAGAAGATTTTTGTCTAATTTTGATTAGACTAAGAATGGAGCATTGCAGCCATATGAGGGGTGGCGCTGCCCAACTCTCATTGGCATCATGACAGAGTTCCAAATCCTTGAAGGGGCCTTGAGAGTGATGGATTATTTCCCACCTTGCAACCTCTTTCCCCACAGTCAAAACGTCACAGGCCTCTGGCCACTCTAACCATTTCGATGGTAAATATTCAGACTGACTAGATTAACTTAGCTTCACCAGTTCAGACCTTCACTTCTAGGACTCTCCTCGATCACAACGTCAAACCATCTTCATTCCCTTCTCATTTCTTAATTAAGCTTCAAGTTACAGTCAAACAGTTTCTTCAGCTGATTTGTCACTTTGTGGAACAGACTGTTGGATACATGTTTGTACTAGTGAGCCAACCAAAATGAGCTGACTCATTTTATAGTCCACCAAGTGAAGGATTAACCAATCAGAAAGCTCAAAATATTCAATCCGACGTGTATAAAGGCAGCCATTTTGTTTTGTTATTTTCTCCCAAAATATCTTCACAGAAAACCTAATATCGAAAACTTAAAGAATTACTTAACAGCCGCTACTTTCTCTGAATCTTCACTGACAACCTCTGATTACGGACTTCACTTCCATATTCAGATACGACGGCAAACATGGTCAACACAGACTCACCAGAGAATGCTTCTCCCGTTACTACAATCACAACCTCTTCGTCTACAGGCAGACTATATCTATCCCACATATCCTCGTAATAAGTATCTCTTTCTTTACGCTCTCATTGACACGTTTGTGGCTGCCTTGATTATATGTAACGCTTAAGGGAATGCCCTCGATGTTTTTGTTAGCGTTATTATGAGTCATTGTTATATAAGAGGGTTAATGCTTTATTTTGGGTAAATAAAGAAAAAATTTATTGGCACTTTCAGGGCTAATTGAAGCCTAATATCAGGGTCGGTGCAAGGATCTCTTAGGACCCGCTGAAACTATAACACGGCTCCACCAGTCTACGCTTAGGCGATCATGTATCTTTCGATACACGACTGACGAGGCAAGTTTTTTTCCCGCAGTAGGTTGCCATTTCTTTCTGCGGTAGTTACTATCCAAGGCTATAGAACCCAGTCTGTTTACACATAGGTGGGCGAGGAGAGAAGAAGAGGATTCATACCTTTCCCAAGGGTATTAGCACGTAAGTAAATGTAATGGTGATTCGAGTTGAATTCGAACTCGGCTCTCCGATTCCTCAATCCTAGCCGATATTCATTACTCCGCCTCCTATACGGTAATCTTACTTATTATAAAACGCATATTTTGTGTGTGTGTGTGTGTGTGTGTGTGTGTGTGTGTGTGTGTGTGTGTGTGTGTACGTTTATATATTGGATCGGATTTCACATTTTTCAACCGATTTCAACAAAACTTCACAGAACTGTGTAAAATTACCTTGCGGCGATTCTGGCAGCGCCAAAATTGAAAACACAATTGTTTCTGCACGAAATCAATTTGAAAACACGATAAAACACGATTCTGTCGCCAGAATGAAAGGGGGACAACTCATATCGAGTTATACTTATTATAAAACCCAGTTTGTGTGTGTGTGTGTGTGTGTGTGTGTGTGTGTTCGTTTATATATGGGATCGGATTTCCTACATTTTTCAACTGATTTCAACAAAACTTCACTTTTGTGGCAGGTAGTGTTTCTTATTGTCGTGCACACTTTTTTTCTTTATTTTTACATTCAGAATGCTTTAAAAATTCCATTTACAAGACAATTGTTTATAAAAAATTCTATTCAATCGGTAGATTCATAACGATTGAAAACAATGTTTTGTTTGAGTTTGGGTTTAACCAATTCGTAAAAAAAAAAAAAAAACTAATTAAGACATGCAACAAATAAACAATAATCTTTGTCAATTTTATTTTTCAGTCTTTATGATGGTCGATACTTGATCTATCGCTTAAAAAAAAAAAATAATATTTTTATTATAACCCAATTAAGACATGCGTGTCCGTCAATGTATCTTAAACAATAATCTTTGTCAATTTTATTTTTTTTAAGTTTTTTTTCTTTATGATGGTCGATTTAATTTAGATCTATCTCATACGTTTTTTCGACATCCCACAGATTTGGACAAAAGACAAAATCCGTAAAACGCATCTTTTACTAGTCAAAGTTTAATATCCTTATAAAAATAACAAGAAAAATAATAAACACTATTTATTTATTAGATTGTTTATATATTATTTATTAATGATATTGTTAATTGGAATTGTTAGCAAAACATCGGCTAATTGCCAATTAATTCAAGCTTTATAAAATGGTAAAAAATAAAAATTTCCTTATAATTGCCTCACATATTTAATAAGTAAATCGTTATAAATTTTTGAATAAAAATTGTTTTCATATTTATTTCTTTATAAATTGGTAGATGATAAATTTTAGTTTTAATTGTAATAGTTTTTAGAATGTTGTAAATATAAATTAATTATAGTAAATAAACAATCTAATAATGTGTTGTAGCATACCTACGGACGATAATGGGTATGTTCCCATTCACATAAATACAGTAGTAAATACTGTATGTTAGTCTCCAGTTGGAGATTCGTCTCCAGCTGTGCTGGTCAAACTCCCTGCCTCCGGGTAGAAAGGATCTCCAAACGAGGCTCTGTTGAAGAGCAGAGTCTCGTCTCAGGAAACAGCTATCCGTCCCCGTTCTATATGGGCTCTACGAGGAATTTTTGGCCGAGCCTACGGACTAGGATACCCCACATTAAATTCGACCTTGTGCCACATCTGATTGCGTAGGACAGTTGGTAGATATCCTGCAGTTGGAGATTTATTGTGGAATTCATTTGACTCACTTCTAGCAGTTGACTACTTCTACGCGTGGCTGGCGAATCTTATATGTGTTGTTCTTGTTCTAAGTATTATCGTTCATTACCAACCTTCGTGTGTTTATTCTATTCAGTAACCTTCCCTAGGATACAACATAATGTTTAATATTTTTGTTGTAAATTCTAAAGAAAAAAAATGTATAAATTCATTCTCATATGTTTAAGTTTTATTACAATTCGAATTATCGCTTTTTTAAAACAATAAACACTGTCGATGAGTGACGGTAGTTAAAATAAAATCATGGAAAATACAGTCCTTTTGACAACACTTTTTTTGGGGGGGTGGGGACATTTGTCAATATTTGCCTAAAGATCCATGCATAAATTCTTAACACCTTTCTAACATCGTGCGCAGCAATAAAAATGAACGAAATATGCTTTGTAACTACTGCTCTATGGTGAGGCTTAATACTAGCAAAGCCACGCGAACCGCGTCATCAGTCCCTTAAGCGACCCTGAGTCGTAGAGCATGATATGTACAACAGCTGGATAAGCAGTGATGTATCTAGGACAAGGTAGGCTGACGGAGAGTTCAGTCAGCCCTACTATTTAAAAAAAGACATGAGGTTGGGGGAGAAAAGATAATTTCGTGCCTTTCCTATAATTGCGAGGTGGGGGCAAAAGTGGACGTAACAAACTCGACCGGAATTCGAACATTACTCGCCAATTTCTCTTTCCGAGTTGCAAAATGTGACAACCAAGCGCACATCTAAATGAAACCAGGAAGACTGAATAGCGCCTCAATCAGTGATCGAAATAACAAAGATAACGATATTTATATGATTCATTAAATTGTAGAATATTGGTAAGTGAAATTTGTGTGTGTGAGTGTATGTGTATGCACGCATGTCTGAGTGCGTCTACGTGTGTATGAGAGAGGGAAAGTGCGCGTGTGTGAGCGGAAACACGAGCGCTGGCGCACAGACACAATCACACATATGTGTGTGTGTGTCTGCTTGTTTGCGCGCTGATAGATTGATAGGTATGAATTAAGATAGATAGATAGATAGATAGATAGATAGATAGATAGATAGATAGATAGATAAAGAAAGAAAGACAGAAAGGAAAAAACGAAAGAGAAAGAAAGGAAAAGAAATAAAGGAAAAGAAATAAAAGAAAAGAAATAAAGGAAAAGAAAGAAAGAAACAAACAAAGAAAGAAAGAAGGAACAAAAGAGAAAGAAAGAAAAAAAGAATGAAAAGAAAGAAAGGAAAGAAAGAAGGAAAGAGAAAGAAAAAAAAGGAATGCACTAAAAGAAAGATAGAAACAAAGAAATAAAGAAAATGAAATTTGGAAAACAAAGGAAGAAAAAGAAAGAAAAAGAAGAAAAAGAAAAGAATGGAAGACCGTAAGAAAGAAAGAAAAAGGAAAGAAAGAGAAAGAAAGAAAAGTTGATTTAAAGAAGTCAGGAACAAATGAAATGAACAAAGAAAAGGAAAGAAAGAAACAAAAAGAAATAAAGAAAAAGAGAAGAGAAAGAAAGACAGAAAGAAAGAAAAGAAAAGAAAAGAAAGAAAGACAAAATAAAAGTAAATAAAAACGAAAAAGAATAAAAGAAAGAAGAAAAAATAAAAGAAAATAAAAAGAAAGAAAGATAGCAAGAATCAATGAGAGAAAGATAATGCAAGACGTAAAGAACCTGCAGTATAATGGAAGGTGCGGCAAATAATTTTAAGA